AAAGTTAGAGCAATAAGAGCAGCAGCAACATCATTTGATCAAAATCCCTTCCTTCCTGCTTGGGGTTTCTCCTCTTCAGAAGCACCTGTCATACTGGCTCTTCCTGTTATACTCAAGGGCCAGGTCTTCGCTTTTGTTCAGATGTGTTTGGAATAAAATGTCAAGTGTAGCTGAAGGAGAGGCCAGAGGGAGAGCTTAACAGAGAAAGAGTCAGAATGGGACCGTGAGGATGCTATAAATCAGGCATGTCAGACTTGCAACATCACGTGACATCGTGTGACGTATTGTGATTTTCCCCCCATTGCCGGCAATGGGGTGGGCGCAGTTTCAGTATGATGCATCGGGCCCATGGGCCGGCAGTTTGACATGCCTGCTGTAAATGATTTTTGCCTCCCATCCCCTGGGATTTCCCCCCCAGGGGTTTTAACAAAGCCAGCTTGTTCTAGGTAGACATCTTCAAACATAGCTCCCAGCTGTTTGGGAGTTACTCAGGTTGTATATTTAGAGATGGTCATCTGGGGAAAGAGCTGTTGTGATTTTGGTTAGTGAGCAGGTGCTGAACAGCTACCTGGAAGTATTGATTGCTGGATGAGAACCAGAAAATTGAAATACCTTCCTTTTGAAGGAGTGGGCTCAAATTTCACAAGATATTTCTTTATTCGGTGCTGGTTGTCCAGGTGCCCATCATGCCAAGATTTTAGCTTGAGCCCATCTCTTCCTTGACTAAAAGAAAATAGCTTATTGAAGTCAGGATAATATTTGCGTGACTGGATTGGTGCAGTGCCTATAGATTTGTGATAGGGTGTTCTCAGCAGCACAATATGCAATTCTCCTCCCACTAAAATGCTGGTAGTTCTCATGTAGATAACAGTTGAAAATATATCTGCTCGTTCAGATATTTGTGAGAAAGTAAGGCACTAGTTGAAACCGTTTAATGCTGGTTGTGTTATTGTTAATTGGTATTTTCTGCCTTTTTAAATGGAAGGTTTAATTACTATGATGCAGTGCTTGGTACACTGCTCTGGTTCTTTTAAGAGGAAAAGTGATATCCAAGTAAAATGAATAATTTTCAAATATGAAGATGAAGTAACTACCTAGTGTCGTAAAGGCAGCTAATTACACTATCTGTTAAAAAAATAAACACCATTAAATCAAACCAGAATATAATCTTAGGGCATTTTTATAATGGCTTATATACAAAAATCAAGAACACTACTTATGAGATAGTTAAATAGAGTCCAGTCCAGCTAGACAAACATTCCCAAGTTAATGACAGTTTGAACACTAGATGGAGCAGGCACTTCTGTGTTTTTGATGGAATAATGGCCC